GGATTGACCGTGATACAGCTCTAGTATGGTAAGTTACTACCTAAAAGGTGCAAATGCACTTGTATGACTCTGACCCAGTGAAATCAATGGAGGTTTTGGTATTGATTTCCCTGGATCAGGTCATTAGTTAACAGCTCTACTCCTTGAGTATTTTCAGTCATAGCCACAGGCATCATAGAACCATAGTAAATTAGGGCTGGAAGGGCCCTCAGGAGGTCATCTAGTCCAACCCCCTGCTCAAAGCAGGACCATCCCCAACTAGATCATCACAGCCAGGGTTTTGTCAAGCCGGGTCTTAAAAACTTTCAAGGATGGAGAGTCTGTGGTTACCTCTTTAAGTAACCTGTTCCAGTGTATTTACTACCCTCCTCATGAAAAAGTTTTTCCTAATATCCAACCTAAAGTTCCCTTTGCTCAATGTGAGACCGTTGCTCCTTGTTCTGTCATCTGTCACCACTGGCTGCTTGCAGAGGTTAAAAAAATTCTGTGCTTTACCACAAGCAGCAGCATGTTACTTCGTCTTAGATCTTCACTTCAGTGAGGCTTTTTGGTGATTTTATCAAAAGCAGAGTCATCAGCTATCAGATAAAAGCGCCAAAAAAAGCCCCACTAAAGTACCTGTTCCATACAACCAGGTCCAACTAACACTGCCTCTTCTGGGCATGCTCTGAGCTCAGTGCAGAGTTTAAAATAAAACACATTTTTTTGTTTGGTTGGGTTTTTTTTAACCCCTGCAAGCAACCACTGAGAACAGTCTAGCTCCACTTTCTTCAGACCCAACCTTCATCACATGGAAAGCTACTATTAAATCCCCCCTCCGTGTTCTCTGGATTAAAGCAGCCCCACTGCCTCAGTCTCTCCCCACAAATCACCCTGTGCCAGCTGAGCCATCTCACCCCACTGGCACCATCACTTCTCCCTCACAACTTTCCCTAACACCTACTTTCCAACCCCTCAATCTGGGGCCTTTTGCTGTCAGCCAATTGCCTTCAAACACCCAGTTCAGTAGCAGTGTTGCCAGGTATACGATAGGTATCATATTTGTACAGTAACTTCAGTGTTCGTTTGATATACAATCAATAATAGTAAAAATGTTCAAAATGTAGAATAATTTCTGATGGGGTTTAATGGACAAATATCCAGCTGATCTAATAAAAGCTATCACCTCTACCAAGAATTCCTAATAATTCATAGACATTAAGGCTGGAAGGGACCTTGGAAGATCATCGAGTCCGTAAGTGCTGAAGCACTTCATTGATGCAGCATATGCAAAACCCAAGTCAGTCTTGGGGAGTTTAACCAACCTTTTTTTTTTTTTTTTTAAAGGAAAAGTGTTCCATGTTCCAAGCCAAATCAATGGAATCATTCAAGAACTGTATGCAGCCCTACCACCAGCAAACATCCTCCACCCCCGCCCGGGGCTGCAGATGCTTCCAAACCCTTTGGTAAGCATCCTATGCACAGGCCCAAGCCTGAAGACTTGGGATTTGGATGCCCCTGAGTTTCACTTGCCCTCAGCCATATGGCCACAAGAGCAGTCTGCCACATCCATAAGATGGGCATAAAGTCAACATCTTCTCACTGGAAAAGGAAGTGGAAGACTATGCCTTACCTTGGTCAAAGTGCTACCCCCTGCCAAAAAAGTAGTCTTCCCCTGTCCCTAGGAAAACCACCTTAGCGGTCATGGTATTTCCCCTGCCAGGTATTTCGGTAATAATTTTTTAAAAAATTTTCACATTCCAAGCCAAATTGGCCAAATCCATTCCAAATCCATTAGTTCAGAACCAAACATGGCCCTATACTGGCAAACATCCTCCACCCTCGCCTGCGGCTTCAGATGGTCCCAAATCCTTTAGGCCTGCAAGTGAGATGCCTGCCAAGCCTGGAGACTTGGGGTTCGGATGCCCCCAAGTTTCGCTTGCCCTCAGCCGTAAGGTATTTCAGGTCATCTTTTTTTTTTTTTTTTAATTATCTATCTATATTTAGGTAGTAATCTCCCAGCACTTTCTTCTGACCGCCTGCCTCAAAATAAAGAAAGGCTTCAATTTTGCCGACCCAGGTCTCTCTCACTCAGACTTACTTGTATGCTTATTTGCACACTTTCCATTTTTATCAGTGTGCAATAATTTTTTTAGCAAATATACAAAATACAAAAACCTAAAATTCATAGTTCAGAAACGATCCCTTTTATTAGCCCAACTGAGAAATTAAAAAAAAATTCTCTATTTCCCCTCTCAGCAAATACGATAAATTTGGAGCTTCCAAAACGATAATGACACGCGCGACACCTGACAAAGCTACACTCGCCAGGAATTCCCCACGCCCACCGCAGGCGGGGCCGCTTATGACGGAAACGTGACGCAATAGGCACGTGGGAGCCGCGCGAGGCTACTCTTCAGCCCGGGCCCCTCGCTCGGGGACTGCGCTGGAGGGAGGGAGGTTTAGCCATCACGAGCTGACATCACGGAAAGCAGGCGGAGCCTTAAACAGCAGTCCAGCCCCCACCGCACTGTCAGCCGCAGTCCCCTCAGGCGCGGGGTGGGGTCTGGTGCCCGAGAAGGAGGAGACGCCCGCCCCGCGTTCCCCCCCGCCCCTACCCAAGCTGTTGCGATGCCTGCAGCCGTTGGTGGCGCCCTCAGAACCCCGCGCGCGAGGGGGCGGGGCCAACCCTCTCCGCTCCGCTGGGGCAGGTGAAACGCGCCCCTCCGATATAGCGCATGCGCGGGCCGGGGAGGCCGTAGGCGAGCTGCTTCTCCCTCTTCCCCGACACGCACCGGGGGCGGGGCCTAAGTGGAGCGGGAGGCGGGACAGGGCGGTGTCACGTGCCCTCCCGTCGCTGCGGTTGGGGCTAGGCGTGTGTGATTGGTGGAGCCTTTTTGTGACGGAGTTTCCCCGTCCCGCCATGGGAAGATGGGGACCTCAGCAGATACGTGGGGTTGAAACTTGAGGGTGGTGTCAGGTGTTTTGACAAGCGGCAAATGGTGGGGCAGGTGTAGCCCAGGAGGAGGACTGCAGGGCAGGGGGTTGTATCGCTAGGCTCCTGGGTGGAAGCTCTGGGGTTGCCTTGTGCTCTTCTGTTGGCTACCCACCAGTGCTGAACATTGCAGGGGGCCTTAGAAAGTCTCTCAGTGCCCTTATTTAGTGACGCTTTACTATGTGTTAGCCTAAAAACACTGCACCATAGGCTACTAGCACGGTTTTGCCATGACACGCTACTGCACAGTGTTATGAGGCTGATGCACAATGTCTCATGTAGATGCACTCAGCTGTTTTTTTTTCCATTAAAACATTGACTGCTTAGAAGTTCATTCACCTGCTCTGTTTTACCCACTTGTTTGTTTAAAGTTTATCCAGCTGCTTTATTGTAGCTACTTCTGTATGTGCATTAATAGATTGACTGGAGGCAGACAAGCACGCCTGCATAATATTTATTCATATTTATTGTCCCAAGACGGCAGGCCTGATGCCTGGAGCAAGATCAGCGCGCAGAGATTGAGGTGGGCAGGGCACGTTGCAAGAGCAGCTGGGAGAAGGTGCCAGAGGCAGGTTTTGGGAGCTGAGGTGGTGAAGGCAGACCACAGTAACAGTGGGAAGATAAAACCTGATCTGGAAGAGACAGGCAAAGTTGTGACGAGGTGGAAGGAGATCGCACGCGATAGGAAAAGATGGAAGGCTTTGGTAAAGGTGGTTATAGGCCCTCGAGGCCTGTGAGACCAGAAAGAGAGAAAGAAAGAGAAAACACCATACTTGTGTGAGAAAACATCTATTGTATACCGTGCATTTCGGTTACTATCAGCCAGCAAGGTATTAGAGCTAAAGGATGAGGGTAATTCAGGCATAAGAGCTATTAATGTCTTTCTTCCTCATATTATCACATACTTCAGGTAAAGTATGAGAGCCAGGCAATAATCTTCCTAAACTACATTTCCTTTCACATTTTATTAATATCAATTTTAAATACTAGGAAAATTAATGATGTTGCTTCAGCAGTGATGACATTGTTAGGGCTGTAATAAGTCTTGTTAGTAACTTTTGGCTGTGGCAGGTGACCGTGTTATAAAAATGTGATTGTCCTGCTGCCTCCTTTTTTATATTGGACAGCAGCAGTACTTCCATGTTTTCTGGAGGAATGCTTTTCTTTTACAATGTGGAAAGTGAAGAAAAGCCTAAAAAATAGCAAGCTAAGGCAACACTCCCAAAACCTTAGCAAAATGGAAGCACTGCAATTAGTATACATAGTACCTGTAATATTCTAGAAGTATTAAAAATATACTTGATCATAGCCATATTCATATGTTTCTAAAGAGAATTTGGGTAGGGTATACTGTACTGTATGTACTAATGTCCACTTGTAAATCAGTGGTAATGAGCCTAACCTTTGTAAAGTGCTTTCAGATCTACAGAAGAAAAGTGCATTTGAAGTGTTAGATATCACTTAATAAAATGTAAGAAGTACAGGGAACATGTCACTAATACTGTGACAACAGGAACTTCAAATTAAACATATAGGGGCAGCATTTCTGTTTAAAACGGACATAAATAGCATAGAGGATGGCAACAGGATTACTACAACATTTAGGAAGAATCTCACTTTCATTTACTGTCATTTAAGCCAATTGTAAAACTCATACTGTCTCAAACCAAGTAGGATTGGACTTTGTTAGCTAAGTAAGTCACCCTGGTAGCACACAGTATTTTATTTTGCTTTTATTTTTGTTAAAGGTTTAAGATGCTGAAGTTACAACTATTAAATTATATTAATAAAACCATGGAATTTATAATTCCTCTGACACTTAATTTTCCTTTTTAGTTTTCTAAATTAATCAGTGCACAGAAAGTAATATGTTGGCAAAGGAAAGCATGATAATGAAATACAGATGATGACTGCAGGTTGATTTGCAATTTGCATGCCCTTTATCAAGGATGTATTTTTGTTACTTATGCTTTTCCACTCTTAACATCTTTGCAATCAATGTATTTGGCTATGTGGCCAAATTCTGACTTCTACAAACTACATACACCCTGGGGGCAAGGCCAGCTCACCACCACTGTGCGTACTCCCGGGGGACAGTGGGGACCCGTCCCCCCTAGATCTGTCCACGAGGCAGACATTGGGGTGGGTGCAGGCTGCAACTTCGGGCTTCCACTGTGCTGCACTACCCTGGGGCCTCCACAGCCCGGTGGACACAAGCTGGCGTGGCAGGCAACATCTGGGCTGTGTGGAGAAGCTGCTTGTTGCTGCGAGCTCCATGCTGCCCTGGTGATGCGCCCCCTGTGTGCGTGGCAGCTCTGAGCGGTGCAACCCTGCACTACTGCGCTCGCTGCAGCCATGCGCACAGGGGATGCATCACCAGAGCAGCGCAGTGCTCACAGCAACAGGCAGCTTCTCCACACAGCTCCACTGTTCCCTACCACGCTGGGTCACACCTGCTGGGCTGCTGAGGCCCCAGGATAGGGCAGCAGGGTGGGAGCCTGCACTCACCCCGGACACAGATCTGGGGGGTGTGGGTCCCTCCTGCCCCCTGGGAGTGTGCACATTGGTGGGGAGACACCCCCACCCTGCTTGAGCACACAACCCATCCCGCCCCTGCTCCAGGCACAGATCTAGGGGGTGTGGGTCCCCCCTGCCCCCTGGAGAGTGTGTGTGCTGGCAGGGAGCTGGCCTTCCCTGCGCTAGCCCACAGCAGGCAGGCAGCAGGGGGGAGCCAAGCTCCACTGTGCTGCAGCAGCCATCACCTCCTGCCAGGGGCAAGGGGCTGTGATTCTGGTCCCTGGCCCTATACCCCTGGCAACTGGGGGGGCAAGGGGCTGTAGGTGGGGGCAAAGGGCACCAGCAGGGCTGAAGGGACTGGGGGGCGGAGTGAGAGGCACCAGCAGGGCCAGGGGGGCCTTTAATTTTAATCACAGATTTTGGGGGGTTTATCAGAGAATCTGCTATTTTTTTTTAATCAGGGAAAACCAGGATCCCTGGTTATTACCAACATCAACCGCCAGGGTTCTGAGTATTCACAAAGAAAATGGCTGCAATTTTTGTCTTTTGAGGGGTGGTAGAATTTAAGATTTCTGCATAGTTTAATGATCTTCTGGATGCTGATCTTCCAGCACCAACTGCATAGAAGTTCTCTACATATGTTTCCACCTTGTGCTGCTCTCCAGATTCACTGCAGTGTATTTCCTCTTGCTTCCAGCAAACTTCCTGTTCATTTGCAGATCTCCAGTTCTAATCTCTGTGGGTCTGGGGACAGTGTAAAGAGGTGTCCCCACCTACGCTGCCAGCTCACCTCCTTAGAGCTTGGAGCAGATCCGGAAGTGCACAGGCAAAGACTCCTCTTTTCATGAGTCTTAAGAAATAAAATTGGTACCAGGATTGTGAGTGCTTCCTCATGTCCTAAATCTTCTCCCAGGCTCTGAAATCAATCATCATGTGAAACACCACAACACAAGTAAACAAAACTCAATAAGGATCTCATTTTTATTGCACAGAATATAAAATAAAACAAGCATATCTTACTTGTGTAATTTCTCAAACACTACATAGAATATCTGCTGAAGCCAAAGTTTCACTTGCAAAAATAATAAAGGCAGTAACAGTAGACAAACTTTTAAATGATGCGTTTTTCATTGTATATATAACAAATATAATACACATTCTAATATCCAAATTTTTAAGGAGAAGGGAAGACACTGAACAGGTCTGGATAATAAAGGTTGTAAGATGAATAAAGTTATGTACACTGTGATCAACAGCTGTGGCAAATGATCCAATTCAGTTACTTAAAGTCAAGATAATGAAGACTGAATTGTGGTGTTTTTCTGATAATCAGTTGTATTTGTGGAATTTCTTCTAGAACCAACACTGCTATATAAAGCAAATATATGTATATACATTTATGTATTTTTATTAACTTGTATTCAAAATTTACAGTTAATTGAATTGAATTAACATTAAGGCTCATTTAACGTCCACATTTAAAATATTCAGCGATAATGGGCTCCAATACATGTGCAGTGAGGCTGCTCTGATGTGCTGTAATTACAGCACATTGGAGCAGACTTAATTGAGTCTGCTAGAGCGTGGTAATGACCATGTTCCAGCAGACTCCAGCATCATGTGTATCAGCGTTGCTGTGCTGAAAAATGCTGCAGGGGGTGCTTTGAACTAAAGCTCATTTTTCAAAGCACTTTGCCGCCACTGATACCTATGATGCTCCAGGTGCCTTTAATTAGTACGGCTCTGGAAGTGTGCTAATTAAAGTTCCCCGCCTGCCTCCCAGAGCACATCTATAAATGCCCAATAGTACATAGTATTTATATCTGAGAATTTCAGTGTACCGTATAAACAATGCTGAATCATACTAATGCAGACAGTCTTATCTCTCCCTCAGCAGTGTAGTTCTTGGCCTACTCCTGTTGACACTGGCAGGTATTCCGTCATCTCTTAAAATGCTGTTTCCCTTCTTAAGTTAGTTAATAAACCCTACAGGAGGAGTTGTGCACTGCATATTGCCTAGTTTATGCTGCCAAGGTGCATTTAATCTAGTTCCAATAAAGGCCAAATATTGCTGAGCTAAGCCATCTTCAAGGAACAAGAAATGCACTTTCATATATTCAAAATTATTTTGGAAATATATTTCAAAATATTTATTATTTCATTCAAAAAATTGATTAAGTAATCAGAAAAAATAAAGTGGCGTTTCAATCTCTATCAAGACGACAGTCACAAAATGGTCAGTTTCAGTGGAGTATGAACCCCAAAACACCAATGTTAAACCAAGACATCTCTTCCCAGATATATTTTTTTGTTCACAAATAATAAAAGCTGAGCTGATCGTTGAAAATTAAGTGGTTACTTAAAGAAATATTACTGTCTTCTATTAGTATGGTCTCTGGACCCAAACATGTTCCAATATAGGCAACCATAACTCCGTAACTATTAAATAAGACACTAGACTGGACTGTGACTCAAAACCTAAATTCTAATCGCAGCTCTGCAACTCACCTGCTGTGCATCAGTGATCCTGTCACTTCACCTCTGTGTTCCCCTTCCCATCCTTTGTTCACAGTGCAAGCTCTTTGGGTCTGAATTGCCTTCTAATACATGTATGTAGAGTGCTATCACCCTGGTGTTCCAAATGTGGATATGGACTCTAGGCACTATTACAATGTAAATCATTAATAGCGATATAATCAGAAATACAGCAAGCCTGTAGTAAAATTGTCTGTCTGACTTTTAAAAGAATCATTATCATGACTGGAATATTTTGGTTGATATGAGACAGCTGAGTTGAGAGTGCTTCAAAACCAAAATACTAAAGCAATTTTCAGATCAAACTGGCATGAGGAAAAAGGAAGCTGTTTGATACATCTTGCTTTCCTAAGAATGTTAAATGCATGTATTGAAGGAACAGCATGAATGTTAGTTAGGCAGATGATTAATACATGAGTTTTCCATACAGCAGAGTTATTCTTGTGTTTTTATTAATAGTTTTGATGGAGGGAGCTATCATGATCATAGGAACTACCATTTTTGGTGTAAAATAGTCAGAATTGCTAGCTGTAACATGAAAAATAGGATTGGCTAGAGTTGCTGGATGAGGAAAATAAAAGCTTAGAATATTACGTATTACATAGTAAAGGATGATATGTTATCACTCGTAATTTCACTTGTCTGCCTTGAGTGATAGACATCAGAACTTATCCTTGAATTGGTTGTCTTGTATTTCTTGGATCCTATACAACACAGACTGTTCATTGTCTTCAAAAAGTAATTTCTAAATTTCACCCCAACAAATGCATAGAGCACAGGGTTCAAGCAACAATGCAAGAATGCCACAGTTTCAGTAATACATTTTGCATAGCTTATATGCCTTTCGCTATCACATCTTCTATTTAATTTGCCCATATTTGTGGCTGTTATAAGAAGAACTATGTTATAGGGTACTTGACAAACCAGGAAGACAGCTACAATTAATAAAATCACACGTATTGCTTTGCTTCTTTTGGAATTCTGAGCTTGCACTAAGGTTTTGACAATGAATGCATAGCAAAAAATCATAAAGAGCAGAGGGATAAAAAAGCCAAACACTAGTTGTATACCCATGAGCATTAATTTCAGCGCAGTGCTGTTTACTTCTTTACTAAATTTGAGTTCGCAAATCTCTGTTGTATCATTCAGAAAAATGCTATAGCTTTCACTGTATATGAAAGTGCAGCTGGAGATTAAAATTGAGAATACCCACACAACCAAACAGATGAGTTTGCTATATGCTAGGGTTCTTGCCCTAAGTTTAAATGACTTTGTTGCTTGTACAATGGCAATATATCGGTCCAAACTGATAAAGGCCAAAAGCAGCATGCCACAATTGAAGTTGATAGCATAGATACCTCTGGTCATTTTGCATATGACATCATTGAAGATCCATTTGTCAGCAGCATAACTCATTGCCCACAATGGGAGAGTGAGAACAAACAATAAATCAACTATGGCCAAGTTGAAGAGGTATACATCTGTCATAGACTTATGGTTCTTATATAAAGCAAACGTCATCACTACAAAGACATTACCTATAAAGCCCATGACACAGATCAGTGAGTATGTGATTGGAAAAAATACTTTTGTGAAGTTTCTGACTTCCTGCTTGCTACATGGTTCTATAAGTCCATCATAATCTATGGTGTATGGATAATCTGTGGAGTTCATTTCTGCCTGAAAGAAAAATGAATATAGCCAGTTAGTCACTCAAACATTAATACACATTTCTGCAAGTTCTATATAGCTGGTAAACAATGGAGAATTGACTAGTATGAGACATACAAGATCCATTTTTAAGTTTACATACAACCCTGTGTCCACATGAAAGTAATAGAAATAGCTGATCCCACTATTTGGAAAAGAAAGCATCAGAATGCTAAAACCTAGCCACTTTTATCCTTTCAAATTCACGTTTTTTACTTCCTCCTGACAACCTAACCTTGTGCAATCCACTGATACATGCAACATTCTCTGAATAAAATCTCTCCCCTACTTCAAACTTGGCCCACTACAGCTGAGACAATCCTGAACTGTCTCCACCAGTACTAGATTTTCCACACAACTGTGAAAGGTACTACTTTAAACATAAGAAGAGTTTTCTCAAAACAATGAATTAGTTTGATGGATTCTGAAGAGCCACTGAGAAAAAATAGCAGGTTTAACAAAAGCATAACTGAACTTCAAGTGCTGGAACCATTTTTGGGGACAGTTCACAGAATTCCATTCTCACAGCTCAGCTGTAGTAAATCCGGTGAAAGCATGCTCCATCAATTAAGCATATTGTTATAAACCGCTTTCATTAGCTAGTCACTCCCTAGGTCAGGGAAGTTAGTAGTCTTATAGAACTGTTATTGCCAAATTAACTGTTTCTTACTAATATACTTACGTCATTCATTTTGTTAATGTGGTCTCCACTGAGGAAGTCATGGAGTTCCATTATGGTGTTCTTAGGTGCCTGTTCTTAGGTGCCTGTTAGAGAAGGGGAATAGATCAGGAAAGTGCAATAGGACATGTTCAGAGAGAGAAAAAATGTAATGTTCAGCAATGCAGGAGTACTACAAATTAAACACTAAGCAAACAAACAAACAAAAAGCATTACCTTTCAGTTTTATAAGTAACACATTTATTCCTCTACAAGGAAATCCCTTGTCTTCAGCAACCCTTGTAACTCTTAAAACTTGGCAAGTTGTGTAGATGCTACTAAGACAAAAATTTGGACTGTGCTCTTCCTGGATGGAATGGTAAAGCAGCCAGAGGCCAGTCTGTGGGCAAGAAAGCCAGTATGCTGAAATGTAAATTGAAGTGGCCTCAATTTACATTTTAACAGACTGGCTTTCTTGCATATATACAGGTGTCTGGCTACTTTACCACTCCATCCAGGAAGAGCACAGTCCATCTGCAGGCACCTCCTCAGCCTGATGAAAGGTGCTTGTGCCCAAAAGCTTGCTAAGATGAATTTTTCCAACTATTTGAGTTGGTCTAATAAAAGTGAACATGGAACACTGAAACAGTGTCACATTATTATAGTCATTTACATGGTAGTACTATACCTTAATATTTTGCATTTATGTAACATTTTCTAAATAGTATGCCTCAATACCCCAATATAGGTAAATATTGCTAGCCCCTTTTGATATGCTAGATAGATAAATGGAAACAAAAGCTGAGTGACTTAACTGTGGAGATGCAAATTAGTATCAAAACTAAGTTTAGAATTAAGAACGCCTATGTCATCCAGTGCACAGGCTAGTCAGTGTTCAGTGAATGAGCACTTGTTTTAAATTGTTTTTATCCTTGTTCACAGCACATTATTCAAGCCCCACTCCAAAGAAAGAATAATTTATTTCTTCAAGGAATTTTCTCTGGCAAGGAATTGTCTCTTATCTTTCACAAACATTAATAGATTTTCACAATACCCCATGATGTAAGTGAATATTGTTATCCCCAGCTGACAGCTAGGAAACTGAGGCATAGAAAGATTACATCAAAAGTGTTCAGTAGTGTTGGTTATCCAATCTAAAGTCAGTAAGACCTGATTTTTCAGCATTATTAGCATTATATAAAGCATCACTTTGTGTTTCAAGCAAAGACCTCACTGATTTCACTTGCCACTGTGGGTGCTCAGCCCTTCTGCAAATCAGGCCTCATGGTCTTGTCAGGCACCCAGAAAATGAAAAATACACATTAGTAACCACTTACAAAAGGTCTGGTTTAAGTAACTTTACGAGTACCATACAAGAATATAGTGGCAGCAAAGGGTTGGCATCCAGTTTTACAGGGCAGCATTGAATTGCCTTAACTGAAAGACCATTCTTTCTTTTTCTGGAATTCCCTACCTCAGATGATACACACAACAAGCGAGTCAGATGTCCTAGAGAAGATAATTTTCTGCACAACCGTGGTTCATCCCCAGATCAGATGCATTCTGTGTATGGAAGGAGGCAGGAGTCCTATGGAAAAAATAGGATCAAGTAAATAAAGGCCTGAGGCCAGATCCTTTTCTATTAGTTGTCTATCTATTAGTTTCTATCTGTTCAGTGTCATTTAGATGCCTAAGGCCCAGATTCTATGTAAGTGGCATTTAAGTGGCCCTTAGGGGTTCCTGTAGACGTGCTGTGAGGCTGCTCTGATGCACCGTAGTTATTTGATTACAGTAATAACTCCATTAACGGAGTGCTGGAGCATGGTAATTACCGCGCTCCAGACAGCCTTTGCATCTCATGTATCAGCATCCGCAAGCTTCAAAATGGCAGTGGGGGTGCTTGATCTAAAGCTCATTCAACGAACTTTAGTTCAAGTGCCCCTGCTACCATTCTGAAGTGTGGAGATGCTGATACACAAGATGCTGCAGTGCTTTAATTAGAGCAGCTCTTGGAGCTGCTCTAATTAAAGCCCCCTTCCCCCCCCCCAAAGAATGTGTAAAAATGCCAAGGGTACCTAAGGTTATGTCTATACTGGCTCTACACTGTTCTTGAGACTGCACCCAAAAATGAGCCCCTGCACCCTGTTCCTGCTATGCACACTTCTAAACCAGAAATGCAGCAGTAAGAATGCTCTTGGTACATTCCCTCCACCACTCTGAAGTATGCCACAGAGGACACATCTACATAAGCTATTTACTGTGCAGCTGACTAATTAACTCTGCGTTAAATGTCTCAGCATCTACACATGTCCGTATAAGAGCACACAAAACCAATAAACTCTGTAGCAGGTAGTACTTGTAAATATAAGTACAAGTATTTACAAGTACTACCTGCTGCAGAGAGGTTTTTTTGTGATCAGCAGCATACATGTAGATGCTGACCAGCTGGCTGGGGCATAAGGGTGCTTCAGTGCAGGGGCTGCCTGCCAGCTAGCTCCACAAGGAAGTCCCCTCGTCCCCCAGCCAGCCCCTCCGCAGCATGTTGAACCAGGCTGGAGCAGCCCCAGGCTGACAGGTTGACCCAGGCTCCCTGCCAGCTAGGGCTGCTGTAACTCAGCTCAGTGTGATTTGGTCCAGGCACACATGCAGATGTATGCCCAGGAGCTTCCCAGGAGCAATAAACTGTGGAGCATTAAGCACCACAATTTATTGCTACCGCCTAATGGCATATGTAGATGCACCCAGAGAGATCTTGAGAGCAGTGGTGGGGAGCATCCCTGGGCATCCTCGCTGCCAAATTACTTGGCTTGGAGCACATGGAATGTGTGGGTATGGCTCATTTTTCAGTATCAGTTTCAAGAGCCAAGTGGGGCTACCTTCGACATACATACCCTAAGGCCCCTGATGCACAGTCAGTTGACTGTTGGTCTCAGTCTTAGTACTGTATCAGAGTTGGTTCGAGACTCCCATGCGGTCCCAGGTTGGGACCAACAATAGATAATTGGTCCCAGCTCTGGGACTGCACCAGTCTTGACCAGCTCTGGTTACCCTGCTATACATTTTATGTAAGGTGCAGTGGAAACCAGGTATAAAAATGCTACACATCTTTTGTGGCTATTTGCCCATTTTGTTGCACCATTAATTCTTTGAACGTGTGTCAGGGCTACTGTCTATAGCATGACTGACAGGTTAATGGTGTCATAATTGTAACATCTGTCAGAGGCCTCAGCCACTAAACTGGACTCTCTTCCACCCTGTGAAAGTGGACTTCCCTACTGCACTTGCTTAGAAACAACCCCTGTGGCCACCCAGGGTGGAGTTTCCCATTGCATGCGTAACTGGCAGTTCTCTAGCTGCATAAGTGCCAGTTTGGGCACTTACATGCAGATTGCAATTGTATTACCCTAGTACCACGGGATAGTGCATGTGTAATAAGTGAATCCAAGGCATGAATGACAGCTGACCAGAAACCCATGACTAGATGCTGGGGGAGAAGTGGGACCCTCCCATTCTTTAGCCCCAACAGCTGTGTACTTAGGGCACTTGCCCAGAAAACCAGAAACACAGGTCATAGGGCCCCACCTCACCTACAGCCAGTTTGAAGCTGCACCCCTCTGACTTGCTAGCATAGTGCTGACATTGTCATGGCACTTTAGGCATTATCATGTGTCCTGTCCGGTGCTCCTGCTGAAGCTGGTGCCATGGGTGGATTAGGATTTTGAAAAGGGGGATGGCAGATGTTGTGGTGCATTGTTGCATATAATGCAACAATTTTTTTCTCCAGTTAAAAAGAAACTAGAAGCGTTGCTAATACTCTAGGGGCCTAAGACTATCTTATTCAGTTTAAGATCAAAGCAAAACCAAATATAACTTTATAGGAATGTTCATTAATTTTCTATAGTATATAGTACATATAAAATACCACAAACTAGGCAAATAATAATCAAAAGATGTATCATTAATCCTAAAGTCATTAGAAATAAATGTACATCTCTTATTTATATTCATTAAACAAAATCTAGCTTTGAGAATCTTGACAGTGCATCCAATATTTCACTAACAGTTATTTGCACACCTGGGTTATTATTAAACATGACCAGTCCACTGAAATGCTCTTCACCTCTTGCTGAACAAAGCCAAGTTTTAAATCCCTGGAGAGTAGGAAAACTTCTTTCTGATAGAGCTATAGATACAGGAAGTGTGTAGAGAATCTTGAATAAAATATGAATATTTGAAAACCATTTCTTGTTGCACTCTACTAGACCAGTGGTGCCCAACCCATTTTGCCCCACAGGCCAGATAGGCAGTGCCCTGTCTGTTCTCAAGACAGATCTTGACAGTGGGCCTGATCTCACCATGTGGAAGAAAGGGGGCATGGCCAGCCATGCAGGAAGGGAGGGGGTGTGGGCTGGCCCAATCCAGCTGCATGTGGGGGCAAGTAGGGAAAAGCATTACCTGGTCCCCACTGGAGGAACAGGGCTTGGAAATGTGGTAGTGGGGACTGGAGGGGGTTGCAGTATTAATTGCCACTGCTCCTCTGCTGCCAAATTTCCCAACTCATGGGGAACTCTGTAGGCCAGATGCCATGGCTCTATGGGCTGAATTTGCCTCACCAGCCAGGGCTTCAGCACCCCTGCACTGGAGAATATCAATGACTATGGTCCGCACTTTTCTGTTTTCCATGTGCTCCCACTTCTTGTTCCATATCTGAGATTCTGCAAACACAGCATTCCAGCTACTTGACGAGCCTTCATTAAATATTTCAAAAACACAGCTAAGTTTTGCAGATGGATACTATCTTGAAAAATGCAGTATTAGAATACCTAGATCAGGTACAATATTGCCATGTGATGTGAACCTCTGTGTAAGTCCTTGGATTATGAAGTCCAAAAATGGGATAAGTGTTAATTCAAAAGTAGTTCTCAACGCTGCCACATGGAACATTACAGCTGTGTTGTTGCTCGGCTACAAGTTGAGGTAGTTTTACCTCAATGTTGTGTTTTGTTGTGACTATTATTAAATAGTTGTGTAAATTCATCCTTTTATCTTCAAATATCCCAACTGCTACTTTCAAATGGTTGTAACATTGCACAATGGTACATTCACCTTCTGAAGTTCCTTGGACAGTGGAAAAGTGATTTCTAATAGTAATCCAGAGATCATCAAGTTGATGGTAAATTAGAAATTGCATATGCTTTTGTCGAGCAAATGTGCTTTATTTCTGACATCACAATCATTCTATATTGCTTCCAGTGCTACAGACAGAGCTAAGTGAACACCATGATACTGTCATATTGCTCCATACACCTAGTAGCACGTACTTTTGCAAGCAATATGTCTACTCTGTGGACATGTGGACACACTGTCATTCATTTGGTTGATTCCTAAACATAATGGATTACTTCATTCAGAGTGCCTAGCATGTTTTCTGTTCCACATATTGTACAAAATTTGGATATGGCAAGATTCAGAGCATTAGACACAAACTGACTGTACTGGAAAAATCACATTTTATGGGAACCTATACATCGTTTATGCAGCTAGACAGATTGGTGGCTCTATCATAACCTCCTCTCTCAATTTTGTCAAATCCAGACCACTTTTTATAAGAAATCCAAAATAGTTTTTTTTTCTACTTGTCACCTGTAACAGAGAGCCAAATCCTGGTTATGGAGAAGAGATGGTAAAGCTTGGAAAGCTGTCAGGGCCTGTTTATAAAGCTCAGATCTTTTGGGTGGGTCTCAGAGGCTGGCAAAGGAGCCTGCAGGAGACAGGGTAAGCAAAGTGGCAAACTCCCAACTGGCATGAGCACAGCAGAGACATCAAGAGACTCCTACCAGAGGAAGCAGCATAGGTTGGGTGACCACAAGGAGTGAGGGGCTAAGGAGTATAAAAGCTCACTCAAGTGGGGAGAGGGAGAGAGTGTCAAGCCCTGACCACAAAAAAGGACAGATAGCCCTTACTGGATGGAGGGATGGCCATGGCAGATGAAGTAAGTAGTCCCAGAGGGGGAATAAGTTCCTGTTGGGATTTTCTTTTGTTTGAGCAGCATTCCCATGGTGTGATATCTTGAGTTGTGGACCATGTCCACTTATGCCAAGGTGGTGAGGAACTTAAGTTGAAATTTATGTTCCACAAACACCTGTTGGACCAGGAGCAGCTATGAGGGGAGATGGAGAGAGGCTGCATAACTGAGTACCCCAACATCCTGTGTGATAGTCTCCCATCAGAGAGGGAGGTTGGAAGTGCAAGTACCAAAGCCCTAAGGCAAGAATCTGATCTTAGCAGCTAGCCTAAAGGACCTATTACTGTGGCCTAAGGGGTTAAGCAGTGTATTTGCTGACCATAAAGCTCTGGGCTCAAGACCCTGGGGGGATAGAAACTCCAAAGTGGTTTTGAGACCCCCAGACTATCAGTTTGTTAGCCCTGCTGTAAATCAAGCATCAGAAATACCCAGGAACAGGTCTAGAAAACTACCTTTTAGGTCTGGGTGTAGGTTGTAGCCATGTTGGTCTAAGGACACAGGGAGACAAAGTTCTTTGTGTGAATCTGATATCTTTTATTAGACCAACTTAAATTGTTGGAAAA